GACACTTCCGCCATCTGCAATCCGACCCCACCACCAAAGACATCTTTCCCTCCCCACCCTTATCTGCTTTCCGGAGGGACCACTCTCTCTGTGACTCCCTTGTCCGCTCCACACTCCCCTCCAGCCCCACCACACCCGGCACTTTTCCCTGCAACCGCAGGAAGTGCTACACCTGCCCCCATACCTCCTCCCTCACCCCCATCCCAGGCCCCAAGAAGACTTTCCACATCAAGCAGATGTTCACCTGCACATCTGCCAATGTGGTATACTGCATCCGCTGTACCCGGTGTGGCTTCCTCTACATCGGGGAAACCAAGCGGAGGCTCGGGGACCGCTTTGCAGAACACCTACGCTCGGTTCGCAATAAACAACTGCACCTCCCAGTCGCGAACCATTTCAACTCCCCCTCCCATTCCTCAGACGACATGTCCATCCTGGGCCTCCTGCAGTGCCACAACGATGCCACCCGACGGTTGCAGGAACAGCAACTCATATTCCGCTTGGGAACCCTGCAGCCCAATGGTATCAATGTGGATTTCACAAGCTTCAAAATCTCCCCTCCCCCTACCGCATCCCAAAACCAGTCCAGCTCGTCCCCGCCTCCCTAACCTGTTCTTCCTCCCACCTATCCCCTCCTCCCACCTCAAGCCGCACCCCCATCTCCTACCTACTAACCTCATCCCGCCCCTTGACCTGTCCATCCTCCCTGGACTGACCTATCCCCTCCCTAACTCCCCACCTACACTCACCTTTACCGGCTCCATCCCCGCCTCTTCGACCTGTTTGTTTCCTCTCTACCTATCCTCTCCTCTGTCCATCTTCTATCCGCCTCCCGCTCTCTCCCTATTTATTTCAGAACCGCCTTCCCCTCCCCCTTTTCTGATGAAGGGTCTAGGCCCGAAACGTCAGCCTTCCTGCTTCTCTGATGCTGCTTGGCCTGCTGTGTTCATCCAGCCCTGCACCTTGTTGTCTCGGATTCTCCAGCATCTGCAGTTCCTACTATCACAGGAAACCAACCAGCCATTTCAAGTATACACACGTACACCCGAGGTGCTCATAATGTCAAAGGCTGATATCTACTGCTTGCTCCTGTTAATTCTTTCACTACAAAGTTCAATTAATCCAATAATTCAAATTCAGATGCTGCATTATTTTTGTACCTAAATTTTCTGTGAACTGTGGCTGCTCTTTAAGTGTATTTTTACATTTACAAAGTGGCTTTATACCATCTAGTGGCAGGAGCCGAATATTGCAAAAAAATGCAACATCTGGCTGCAGGTTAAACTCTTGCTGACAATTCACTAGAACAACCTTGATAAATAGATTTAAAGTTCAATCACAGGACATGGCCATTTGACCCACTGATGCCTGAATTCTCCCATCTACATCATCCCTCTAGAATGCTAACTCTTTCTTCTAATCTCATACCCTAACTCTACAATGAAGCTCCTAGTTTCTGTACCCTTATCCATTCATTGCTACATGTCTAATTCACTGATGGTTTATATTGGAACTGTTTTTTCATGGGATGTGGACGTTACTGCACATGGGCCCATCTCACAAAGAAGGCAAAACCCCCTGGAGCAGTGTGGTGAAGGAAAGCTTCCATTTGGCTAGGAAAAGATCAGCAATCCAGTTTATGGTTTCTACTATATCGTCCACATAAACCAGAGGACACAGTTTGAGAGCCGCGTTGTTGAAGCAAAGTGGAAAAAGCAGTTCATTCTCATTCCTAATAGCATTTGAGAAAATGCTGATGATGCCACCTTCCTGAACCAGTACAGTCTGAGAGATGCAGGGACACCCACACTGCTGTGAAGGAGCAGTTACAATATTTTGATCCAGTGGCAGTGAAGGAAAGTGATCTAGTTCCAAGTCAGGATATTGCCTGGGACTTACAGGTGATGGTGTTGCCATGCTTCTTGCTGTCTTTGTCCTTCTAGATGGGGTCATGGGTTTGGAAGGCAGTATTGAAGGATTACAAATAGGTCTCGTAGATGGTACACACTGTTGCCACTGTGCAGCAGTGATGGTGGGAATGAATGTTTAAAGTGGTGGATGTAAGTGGTTCAGTGGTTAGCACTGCTGTCTCAGCACCAGGGACCTGGATGTGACTCGCTCGCATAGAACATGTAACGTCTAAAATACAATTAGAAAATACAGGAGAAAACTCATCAGGTTGGACAGCAGGTGAGCAAAAAAGTTAAAAAAGTTAATGTTTAGGTCTGTGAGCATCTGTGGAGAGAGAAACAGAGTCACCATTTTGAGTCTGATGTGACTATTCTACAGTACTGAAAAGGGTTAGAAAATTTTGCTTTTGTGCTGTAGACAGAGGAGGAGGAAGAAGTGGAATAGACTGTAAGGGTGCTCAGAGCAAAACAACAATGCTGCTAAATGGAAGACAGAGAAGTGAAAATGAAGATGTGAAAAGGGAGAAAATATGTCCACTCTGCTGCGACAAAGACGTGTGTGTGTGCGCGCGCACGCGCACACAAGTGGGGGGGGGGGGGGGGGGCGTCATTGTAGATGTACTGGCCTCCCAACATTAACTCTGTTTCTCTTTTCACAGACGCTGCCAGACCTGTTGGGTTTTTCTCTGTTTGTTTCAGTTTTCCAGCATCCGCAGTATTTCACTTTCATTACGAGGATTACATTTGTTACCCTCCAATCTGTTGGGACTGGTCTAGAATTTGCAGAATTTGAGGACGACAACCAACTCATCCACTGTTTCCAAGGCCCCTCCTTTAGTACCCTGCAATGTAGATTATCAGGCTCTCAGGATTTCTCAGCTTTCACCCTCATTAGTTTCTCCAGCACTACTTTTTTTACTAACACTAATTTTCATCAATTCCTTCCCCTTCTCATCAGACACCTGCTTCCCTAAATTTCAAGGCAGTTATTTGTGATTTCTCTGAAGACAGAAATAAATTAGTTGCTTAATTGTTCTGCCTTTCCTTGTTCTCCAATATCATTTCTCCAATTTCAGTCTGTAAGGCATCTCACTGACAATGTTAAAAATTAGCCTGGTATGTACTATCTACAAAAATCAGAACAAATCCAATTCAGCCAATTATTGCCCTATCAGTCCCTTCTTAAATCAGCAAAATATGAAAAGGGTCATTGACAATGATATTTGTCTTCACTAACTTTTTATTTTAAACATACTTATAAAAGGCTTCTACAGTCCACTTTTATGTTCCTCATGGGCTTACTTTCATACTCTATTTTTACCCTTTTAAATCACTCCCTTGCTCCTCCATTGCTGAATTCTAAAATGCTCCTAGTCCTCAGTCTTGCTATGACTTCTGGCTACTTTATATCACTACTCTTTGGACCTAATACTATTCTTAATTTTTTGTTAGCCATGATTTGGCCACTTTTCCTGTTGTTTCTGCACTAGAAAGGCATGTAAATGGTAAAGGTAAAGTAGCCATAGTCTTACCAGTCTACAGGACTGCTCTCTCATTAGAGACAGACGAATGGTACTGTTTAACCTGAGAGTAACCATACCCAAGTCATAGCAAGACTGAGGATTAGGAGCATTTTAGAGTGGAGACGTTGAGAAGGAGAGTCCTTCATGGTAACCTCAACCGGTGCTGGAATTGAAGCCACACTGTGTGGGCTATTTCAGATCTCCAGCATCCACAGTACTTTGCTTTTATCAGTTTTTAAAATGCATGGTGCGACTTCAAATATCCGTTAAGGTTGGTCCACTGATTAAGTAATGCTAGTGTGGGAGGTTACAGATTGTGATAGAGTACAATTCTGCTTCAGATAGCCTATAATAACTACTGGTTGTACATTTTTATGCTGCCAGATCTGTTCTTTATCTATCCTATTTAACAAAGTAGCGCCCCGCAACTTAACGAAGAGCACCTCCAGTGTGAAGACAGGGTTTCATCATGTGGTGGTTAGTGCCACCAATACTGAGGTGGGTATATACATCTCTGACAAGTGGCCTGATGAGGATGAGGTTAAGTCAGCTTTCCATCTGTTAGTTACACCCTTTAAAACTTGACAAGCTCAGTCATTTGAGGTGCTACCAAGCCACTCTTGATGATTAACATTAAGTCCCCATCCAGTATACATTCTTTGTTCTTGCTACCCCCTAGTATTTATTCCAAGTGACATTCAAATAGGGGAGAGCTGATTCACCATCTAAGACATGGGCTGGGGGGTGGTTGGTGATAATCAGCAGGAGGTTTCCCTGTCCATATTTTACTTCAGGCCATCAACTTCACAAGGTGTACATCAATGTTGAAGACTCCCTCGTTCACTTGCTGAAGACTGCAGACCACCTTTGGCAGGTCTGTCCTGCCAAAGGGACAGAACATAAGTCATGAGGGTGTTGGAAGAGTCTGGGACATTGTCCAAAAGGTAGGATTCATCCGTATCAATATGCCAGACAATGCTTGACTAATCTATAATTTTCCCAATTTTCATCCAAGCCCCAATTTTAGTGGAATGGATTTTGTAAGGTCAACTGGGAGGACACAGCTTTATTGCGTCTGCTGCCTAGGAAATGCAGAGTGGTCTGTTCACCTTTATGCGTATTATCCTATTGTTGTGGCTTGATAGAGCTGTGTGGTTTGCCAAGCCATTGCATTTGTGAAAACCTGGGGAACAGGGGAAGGCAGATAAGCAGTTCAATATGACAACTGTGAATCTGAACAGAGACAAATGACAACTTGAAAACTAGGCATCTTTAGATCAGCCACCCCCAGCCAAATAACCTTTGTTGCTGGTAACTCAAGGTTTCAATTCACTTACTTCAGGTGAGATATTTACACTTGGAAGGAACGTATGGCAAAGGCAGTTCCATGATAGCTTGAAATCCAGAAATGATTCCAGTTATTCTCTTTGGATTTGGTAACAGGAACTCCTGATTTGTGTTAACTGTAAAGATTCACCCACTACATGAGTCCATCGTTACGGATCCCAAATGGATAGAATCATATTCAGTTCCTGAATGCTAGTCTCTCCACTCAATATCTGAGTTTTATTACTGCGCTCAGGCCTATGCTTCAAGATTATAGCTCAATTACCTGCAGCTGACAAGCAGCCACCAGCACGTCCTGTACATTATTCAGGTTCAGTTCCATCTCAGAAGTGTAGATGAAGTCCAAGATTTTGCACATAGCCATATAGGTTATGTCATGTAAAAATATCTCCTTCTCCTGCATCTCCCGCAGCCCACCAGCAAACATTCCCCTGTGAACAGGACAGATACTGATCAGTCTTCAGACAGTAAAATTAAGGTGCAGACCAAGTTTATGGAAGCACTTCCCCACGACCTGGAGAAAAAAAAAATTGTCTTCACTGATATATTATAGACAACTTTCCAAAAAAAATGGATTGGTCACATTCTCAGGGTAATCACTCTGCATGAAAGCCTTCCCAAGTACGAGTCAATCAACACTGATTATGAGAAGGGCCAACAGCATTCAGCAACATGAGTTTTAGCTAAATCATCGGTCTGAAAGTTAAATCAAAGCTGTCTGACCCAGAAACTCTGGATAGATACAAGGGATGATATAGGGGTATCCCAGCTCATTCCTCCACAAAGAATCAGCCCATCACAGCATCTGGAACCTCCCATCATAGCATCCACAACTTCCTGTCAAGCCATCAGCAACTTCCATCACACCATCTGGACCTTCAGTCATGGGGTCCAGGGCCTCAGCCACATCACCCAGAGCTTCACGCACAGCATACATTCCATAAAGAGTTCAGAGAAAGATGTACCAGATGTTAGAGTGCAAACTTAAAACTTCCCAGCTCATTAAATGCCCTAACACTTTCCTCTGATCGAACAGAGATTGTATATAGACCACTGTCCAAGCTGCTTTGGGAAAACCTCTTTATTGTGAGCAAGTATGATGCCTTTGGTTTGAAGAGGAAGACTACATTTCTATCAAGGCAGTCATGATCTCAGGATGCTTTATAGAACCCAAAGGCTTTAAAGCCAATTAAACACTTCTGAAGATTAGTCACTGTTGTAATGTAAGAAATGCTGTGCAGCCAAATTGTGCACATCAATATTCCACAAACCGCAATGTGTGATTCACCAAATGATCTACTTTTATGACAACTGAATCATAGAATCCCTACAGTGTGGAAACAGGCCCTTCGGCCCAACAAGTCCACACCGAACCTCAGAGCATCCCACCCAGACCCTTCCCCCATAACCCACCTAATCTACACATCCCTGAACACTACGGGCAATTTAGCATGGCCAATCCACCTAACCTGCACATCATTGGTCTGAGGGAGGAAACCGGAGCACCCGGAGGAAACCCACGCAGACATGGGGAGAATGTGCAAACTCCACACAGACAGTCACCTGGGGCTGGAATCAAACCCAGGCCCCTGGCGCTGTGAGGCAGCACTGCTAACCACCATGCCACTGTGCCACCCCTACAACATCGCCTCATTGGAGGCCACACTGATGGTACCTAGCATGGTGATGATACATCTATACGATAACCAGCCAGCTCAGCGAGCAAGCTAACAACCTTATCCACAACCCAAGCTACAAAGCTTGGTAAAAACATTCGACAGTTGCTGCATGTGGTACTGGGCAACCAAAGATGGCGTGAGAGTGCGGGCCAGTGATGCTTCTTCCTCATTTGTCTGATGTAGGTAAACTTTGGACAGGATACCAAGGATAACTATTCTGCTCATCTTTGAAATATCGATGTTTTACAACCACCCAGAATGCAAAATATTTGTTTTTGCTGAGGGCTCTTCTTGAGATTTTCTCAAGGGTTCCTTTTGGTTTACAGTGGTTCTTTTTTCATTCTTACTCAGGCATTTATTGGGTTGTCACAGAGTACAATATCTCCTGTAATCATGCTGACATATTGGGTACTTTGACTCAAACAGAATTAGAAGAATTTGTCAATATCCTCAATAATTACTAAACTTGCACTAAGGCTGCAACACACAAGGAAAGTGTTCATTTCTTAGTGATCACCATATTGCAGTTGGCACAGGACAACATGCATTAATTAGCAACAGTTTTTGCTTCAAGTAACTATCACAGATTTCTGCACATAAAAAGCCACTCTAAGCATACCTTTCACAGATTGTTGAAATCATAGCTAATTTGTTTCCACCACATATGCACAAAGCCTGAAAATCTTAACCACCACATTTCCATACATGGCAGCTCCTGAAAATATGTAGCCTTAAACAAGAGATTCCACACTGATTTGCATAAAATTAATTACCCCACTGTTTCTTTGTTGACAGGCTTAAAACTGTTAGCACCAACACCCCACTGAAACTTCGCTCTCCCCCACTGCAGCCTCCTTTTCCTCCCCCCCCCATCTTGGAGCCTCATCTCCCCACCATCCATCCACAGCCGACTCTGTTTCACCTTCTTGCAACTTTCTACTTTCCCCAACCATCTTGCAACTTCTTTCATTCCGCTAGTTGTAGCCTTACCTTCTCCCTCACCCCCCCTTTCAGCCTCCTTCTTCTCTCCACCGTACCTTGCAGTCTCTTTGCTTACCCCACTACTCCATGCAGCCTTGATCTTTGCCTGACCCACTTGCAGACTTTGTTCCATCCACCCCTTTGCAGTCTCTTTCTTCCTCCCAAACCCCTTGTAGCGTCTTTCTCCTCCACAGCCATTACCCCAGTACCAAACAGGCAGAATTCCAGACATGCATCCTACTTTCTCTACCTTTCAGCTTCAGCATTCCTGGTAAAAGAGCTCCCTGTCCTCAAACATCCCCAGCATCAGCACACTCCAGCTCCCACAGGCTCCGGACACTGCTGCCATCTGCCCACAACCCACACCTCATCTCAGATGCCCTGGCTTCAGCATACTCTAGCAAAATTATTTTGTAGTGGTTCACTCACTTAATCTCCTTCCTTCCTTATTTTCTTGCTTGTTTACCTTGCTTGCTGCTCCTCCAATACAGGTTGCTCCCCTCCCACATTTACTGCTGATTGTCTTGTAGCTAACCTTGCTGCTCCTCAGAGATTTTGGCCATTCTTATTAGGGAAATAACCTTCCTCTGACTGGTCGTCCAGTGATTTTGGGGGTGAATTTGTCTATCACCCCTGATAATCTTGAGCCTTTGCATCCACTTGGCAGGGCAGAAGGTGCCTTGTTTTAATATCCCATCCCAAAAAGTGGCCATCTTCAACAGCGCAGCACCCCCTCAGTACTGCATTGGTCTATGTGATCTTGTAAATGAGGTTCAGACATCAGACCCGAAGCTCACGGAATGTAAATGTAAAGTCAACCATCCTATCTTTAGAGACACAATGTCACGCCATAGGGTATACAGAATTTGTTTGCTTATGAGATAAAATATTTGGGGCATGTCTTGACTGAACAAAACAACTATGC